TAATGAAAACATCCCTGTGTTATCAACACTGTTTTCAGCACAAATCCAAAACATAGCACTACATGGGCTGCTATGAAGACAATTACTCTATCCCAGCCAAAACCAGGACACCTTCCCTTGTAAAATGCCAGCAATATCCCTTTCTTATGACATATGAAGGAGCTAAAAGCAACACAAAATCTGGAAAAAGTAATATCTAAATGCTGGGCTTTGCAAATGAATTATTGGGGGTTAATTTTCATATTTAAAATTACCTGTTTCTAATGAACTCCCTGCCATGGTTAAAAAAAATGAATGTTGTGAAGAGCTCATTAACAAACATTTCTATTCGAGTAAAACAAAAGGCATTAGATACTTTTTTAATCTGTGTTTCAGCTATTTGTCTGGGTTTCTTCAGGCTTGCCAGACAGCTAAAGGTCACTTATTTTCCCACAGTTAGCAGAGACAAATAGTGAAAGACAGTTTCTGCCCAAGAACATCTAAATTGAATAGTCAAGGCACATCCAGGAAGAAAGAAAATTTAGTATCTCCTTGCCAGAGATGAGGAGACAGAGCTCAACAAGGGTATGGTCAGATCCACCTCACCCTACTTTAGCCATCCAGCAATCAGGCATCTTGTCTGTTTGATGCAGACATCTCTATAATCAATGAAGAAGGACTGTCATCTCCATATTATGAGAAACCCTCTGAAGGTCCCAGTCTCTCATTGACATCTGGCTACCTAGCTCTTTGCTGGCTGGCTTTAGCCATCCAGCAATCAGGCATCTTGTCTGTTTGATGCAGACATCTCTATAATCAATGAAGAAGGACTGTCATCTCCATATTATGAGAAACCCTCTGAAGGTCCCAGTCTCTCATTGACATCTGGCAAGCTACCTAGCTCTTTGCTGGATAACAAGCCTAAGCTTTGATGCCTAGAGCTTAATGAAGTACATCCCACTTTAAGAGACTCCTCTGAGTGATTCGTGCAACAAGGAAGAGATGAGCTATACCTGCTGCCTGTACCTGTGCGTCCCTGGGGAATGTGCCCAGCTTGGGGAGGGGAGCTCCTCACCGCTGGATTTGCAAGGCAGGCACTCACCTCTGCTGGCATTTGACTGAGAAAGCAACACCATGGCTTCTTCTCCTTCCAGAGCAAGGGCTTGAAGATGTCCAGGCCTTTTATGGAGCAGTAGGAAACATTTTGCTGGCTGCATAGAAGCCAGCCAGGACCAGGTCCCATGCAAGCAGTGAGCTTTTTGCTTCCATGGCTGTTTACCTCCCCAGCTCTTACACAGGGAAGAGAAAACAGGAAACCTGTCTGGGGTTGCTGTCTGTGAAGCCAAGTAGGAGGATCTCTGAGGGACAGTGTACCACCTCCGTGGGAAGCCCTATGCCAGCTTTGCCCTGGCAGCCCTGGCAGGCTGGCACGTGGGAAGAGCAGTGGTGGGTGGGTGTGGAAACACACGGCTGAGCGAGAGCAGCCGTATTAATTCTGTCCTGCCCAGCACTCCAGGGAATTGCTGTTTCCAGCTAAGTGAGAAAGGTCAGTCAGGAAGGAGGCTAATATTTTCAGGCATATTGAACCACTTGGTATTGGCTAAAGAATCATTGCAAATGACTAGGCAGCTTGAAAATGTTAAAGCCAATTAAAACAGGAGAGACAATCCCAAAGAGGAAATACACTGGAGCTG